GGCAGGTTTCACGCAAGCAGTTCTAGAATGTTTTAGGGAGTGACGTCATATACGTCGCGCTTTACGGAGAAAAGGATAATTTACTATTCGATTGTACTCTCCAACGTTTAAGGGGGCTTTAATATAATCAAGTAACTACTAGATTTATCGCGGTGTGGCGTTCTATAGATTACCTGACTAAGTGATTAACAGTTTTTTTACACTGAACTGTATTTACTAGTGACGTACACATTCAGGGGCTGAATCCCTGCGTGACTACCCGTATGCGATTACACATAAAGATAGAATTGCGACAAGATGACACGCGGAATTGTCGACTTGAAGAGCTTTCAAGTGCGCTCAAGATTTCTCCACCGCTATTACGGTATATAGTTTAGTACGAGGTCACTATTACAGTATATAGTTTAGTACGAGGTCACTATTACAGTATATAGTTTAGTACGAGGTCACTATTACGGTAGTATAGCTTTAGTACTGAGATTCACTATTACACGTATATAGGTTAGTAGAGGTCAACTATTAGGATATTATAGTTTAGTCGAGCGTCACATATTACAGTATATAGTTCTGTACGAGGTTCACTCATTACATGTTATATAGTTGAGTAGCAGAGGTCAAAATATTCAGGATATAATAGTTTATACGAGAGTCACTATTACAGTATATAGTTTAGTACGAGGTCACTATTACGGTATATAGTTTAGTACGAGGTCACTATTACGGTATATAGTTTAGTACGAGGTCACTATTACGGTATATAGTTTAGTACGAGGTCACTATTACGCCGGATATACGGTTTAGTACAGGTCACTATTCAGAGTATTTGTTTAGCTACGAGGTTACTTTACGGTATATAGTTTAGTCCGAGGGTCCTATAACGTATATAGTTTGTAAGAGTCACTCTTACGGCTATATAGTTTAGTACCGAGTGCACTATTCCAGGTATATAGTTTAGTACGGAGGTCACCGAGTACGCGTAGTAGTTTAGTAGTGTCACTAATTACAGTATATAGATTTAGTCAAAAAAACTGTCTTTTCCAGGGTCGACTATTACAGATTATATTAGCGTTGTAGTACGAGCGCTCACTTTACAGTATTAGGTTTAGTACGGAGCGGTCCTATTACGTATATGTTTAGTACGCGGCTCACTATTACGCTATATAGGTTAGTACGAGGCTCACTGCTTACAGTATATAGCTTTAGTCGAGGTCACTATTGCGGTATAATAGTTTTAGTACGAGGTCCACTATTACGTTATTATAGTTTAGTACGAGCTACCACTAGTATACGTACTTAGTTTATACGAGGTCACCGTATTACGCGTATATTAGTTTAGTACGAGGTCACTATGACGGCGTATATAGTTTAGTACGAGCAGGTCATATTACGCGTGTATATAGTTTAGTACGAGGTCGACTCTTAAAGTATATAGTTTAGTTACGTAGGTTCATATTACAGTATTAGGTAGTACGAGCTGTCACTTATTTACAGTTATATTGTTAGTACGAGCGTCACTTATTACGTCTATATAGTTTAGTACGACGCGTCACTATTACGGTATTAGTTTAGTACGAGGTCACTTTACAGTATATTAGTTATAGTACGAGGCCCACTATTACAGATATATCGTTTTAGTACGATGCGTCACTATTATGGATAGATAGGTTTAGTACGAGCGTCACTATTACGGTAGATGTTTTTAGTACTGAGGCGTCACTTTCAGCTATATAGGTTAGTACGAGGGTCACATATACGGTATATAGTTTAGTCGAAGGTCACTAATTCCAGTTATATAGTTTAGTACCGCAGGCCACTATTACAGTATATAGTTTAGTCGACGCGTCACTATTACGCGAATTAGCTTTAGTAGCAGGATCACTATGCGGTATATAGTTGAGTACGACGGTCAGTAATTAAGCAGTTATATGATTTAGTACGAGGTCATTTGCGGTATAGAGTTTAGTACGATGGTCACTTTTATTACCACGACGCTTAGTTAGATTTAGCTACGAGGTCACTATACGGTACTATAGTTTAGTCGACGGTCAACTATTACCCGCGTTATAGTTTAAGTACCGAGGTCACTATTACAGATAGATTAGCTTTAGTACGAGCGCCATATTACGGTATCATAGCTTTAGTACGAGGCCACTATTACAGTATATAGTTTAGTACGAGGTCACTATTACGGTATATAGTTTAGTACGAGGTCACTATTACGGTATATAGTTTAGTACGAGGTCACCTATCTACAGTATTAGTTAGGTACCGAGGTCATATTTACGGTATATAGTTTAGTACGAGCGTCACTATTACAGATATATAGTTTTAGTCGAGGGTCACTATTGCCAGGCTATATAGGTTATAGTACGACGGGCACTATATTACAGATATATTAGTTTAGTACCTGAGGCACTGCATTACGTATATAGTTTAGTACGAGCGTCACTATATTGCGGCGGATCAGTATTATAGTTCAGTACCAGTCCATTATTAGTATATAGTTTAGTACAGAGCGTCACTATTACAGTATTATAGTTTAGTACGAAAAAAAACTATTCTTTCAGGCCAGCTATTTACGGTATATAGTTTGTCAGAAAGGCCCCTATTACGGTATATAGTTTAGTACGAAACAGTCACCATTACGGTCTATATGTTTAGTAACAGGTCATATTTGCGTATATAGTTTAGAAGTACCAGGGTCATCTTTACAGTATATAGTTTTAGTACGAGGTCCTTTACAGTAATAGTTTAGTACGAGGTCACTATTACGGTATATAGTTTAGTACGAGGTCACTATTACAGTATATAGTTTAGTACGAGGTCACTATTACAGTATATAGTTTAGTACGAGGTCATATATTGGGTATATAGTTTGAGCTACCAGAGTCATTATTTCAAGTAATAGAAGTTTAGTACGAGCGTTCTACTATGACAGTATATAGTTTAGTACGAGGCACTATTTACGGTATATAGTTTAGTACGGAGGCCACTATTACGGTATTATAGTTTAGTACGAGGTCACTATTACGGGCTATAAGTTTTAGTACGAGGCTGCACTATATTAAGCGGTATATAGTTTAGTACCGGTCATCCTTTACCAGTAATTATTAGTTTAGTACAGAGGTCACTATTACGGTATATAGCTTTAGTACGAAGGTTCACTATTTACAGCTATATTAGTTTAGTACAGAGTCACTTATATGCGGTATATAAGTTTAGTACCAGCGTCATTGATTAGCGTATATAGTTTCAGTACGAGGTCCACTATGACGAGTATATAGCTTTTAGTACGAGGCCACTATTACGGTATATAGTTAGTACGAGCCGCCACTATTACTCGGTTATATAGTTAGTACGAGGCCACTACTTACGGTATATAGTTTTAGTACGAGGTTACTTTACGGTAATATATAGTTTAGTAAGAGGCGCCACATATTACGTAGTTTAGTTAGTTTACAGAGGTCACTATTTACGCGTTATAGGTTTACGTACGAGGTCAGCTATTACTGGGTAAATTAGATTAGCTACAGCAGGTCACTTATTACAGGTGAAGAGTTTGTCGAGGTCATTTACGGTTATATAGTTTTGTACGCGACGGTCACTACTGACGGTATATCAGTTGGAGTACGGGGACACTCTTACCTGTATATAGTTTAGTTACAGAAGGCCACTATCTACAGTATATAGTTTAGTACGAGGTCACTATTACGGTATATAGTTTAGTACGAGGTCACTATTACGGTATATAGTTTAGTACGAGGTCACTATTACGGTATATGAGTTTGTTACGAGGCCACTATTAGCAGTATATCGTTTAGTACGAAGGTCACTAGTACAGTATTAGTTAGTCGAGGACACTATTTACGATATATTAGTTTAGTAACGAGGTCACTATTCGGTATATGTTTTCAGTAACGGAAGGCAACCTATTACGGGCATATATAGATTTCAGTCACGACGCGCACTATTACAGCTGATATGTTTACGTACGACCGGTCACTTTACAGTATATAGTTTAGCTAGCAGGCCATATTACAGTATTATAGTTAGTACTGAGGTCACTATTACGGTATATAGTTTGTACGAGTCACTATTACGGTATTATAGTTTTTAGCTACGACGTCACTATGTAACGGCGTATTTAGTTTAGACGAGGTTACTATTTACGGTGCTATAGTTTAGTACGAGTCACTATTACGGTATTTAGTTTAGTACGCAGGTGGTTACTATTACGGTATATAGTTTAGGTGACGAGTCACTATTACGGTATATAGTTTAGATATACGAGGTTCATTATTGCGGCTATATAGTTTAGTACGAGTCATTATTACGCCGTATATTAGTTCTAGTCTGACGTCACTATTGGCCAGGCATTATAGTTTAGTACGATAGGCTCACGTATTCAGGACTATATAGTTGTAGTATATGAGCAGTCACTATTGCGCGGCTATATAGGATTTAGTACGGAGGCCACGGATTACAGATATATATGTTTAGTATACGATGGGCGACTATTAACGCCGTTATATAGTTTAGTATACGCAGGTCACTATTACGGATATACTAGTTTAGTATTGAGGTCACTATTACGGTTATATAGTTTATACGAAGGCCAACTATTATGGTATATGGTTTAGTGCGAGGTCATTATTACAGTATATAGTTTAGTTCTGTGCCCACTATAACGGTATATAGTTTAGTTCTTGGCACTAGTAAGTATATGGTTTAGGTTAGAGCCCACTATTACGGTACATAGTTTAGTGCGAGACACTATTGCGGTATATAGTTTAATGCGAGCTGACTAGGTTTGGTTTAGGTTAGAGCCACTATTACGGTACATGGTTTAGAGCGAGACCACTATTACGGTATATAGTTTAGTACAAAGCTGGTCGCTATACCTTCGGTGCTATGGATGAGATCTGATTCTGTTTAGTACGGAGAGGGTTCACGAGGTCACTATTACGGTATATAGTTTAGTACAATGCTGGTCGCTATACCTTCGGTGCTATGGATGAGATCTGATTCGCTATCTTTTCTGCTTCTCTCTAGTGATGGGGGATGTACTGGGTGACGGAGGTGTGAGCAACGAACCCTTGCTGCCACTCTCGCTCATCTGTGATGCACTCAAGCACTGGGGGAAAAAAACAAATAAAATTAGCCATGACCTTCATTTTAACACTATACCGCACCGACACCTACACCTCGACATAATTAAATCTTTGGCTAGCATGTATATGGTACCACTATGGCCAAGTTTGGCCATGATCTTCATTACAACACTATACCGCACCGACACCTACACCTTGACCTTGACATAATTAAATTGTCGGCTAGAATGTATATAGTACCACTGTGGCCAACATTGGCCATGATCCTTCATTATATTACTATACCGCACCGACACCTAGCCCTTGTTATAATTACATTTTCGACTAGCGTGTATAGTGTCACTGCAGCGTTGGCCAAACACGGCTTTACCTGCGTCATTACGCAGGTAAAGCCGTACACGCCCGCGTGATTAGAGGTGGAGAGGGTGGTGGGGTAACAATTCCAAGGCCGTGGCCTCTGGGGGGAGGCAAGGGTGTAGCTGCCCACATTAGATTGTGGAGGAAATAAGCTTATGTAACCATTGTCAGTTACCCGGAAATAAATGTGATAAATACTGGAACAAAATTCCCATTTACTAAAGCATTACAATTCACAAAAACACTATTATCCCTTTTGCTTATAACCCCATCGTACATGTGATTTATTTCGTGAAAATTTTGCTACCCCCTTCCAAGGAATTTGTTCAACCTACGGCCCTGAATTCTTATATAAATTGCATCTACCTACCCCGTGCCAGGTATAGTAGCGGTACAGCAGCGAGAATAAGGGCGATTGACTCTTTCTATATAAGTAATAGGCTTGAATTCAACCACTTGCATCAACCTTGTCGAGCTTATATACGTGTCTCGAGACGATGAAGGAACTTACGAGGCCTGACGATACAGCTATACGCACCAACGTAATAACCGTCTCGTTTTGAAGGTTTTCGGGGGTTTTTAATACATTTTTTTTGATAAGTAGGATGAAATTAGGTTCCGTATTGCGGACCGAACTTTGTTAAATGTCAGCGCAATATCTTTCCATCTGTATCAGCGCAGCAGGTAGATTAGTGTAGTCGTCGTTAACGGACGGCGGCTGAATGCAGGCAGGCAGGTAAGCCCTGACGTTATCATGGCGGAGGAAGACCTACGACGTACTTAAAATCAGACATATTAAAAGATGCCACTCAAGTGATAGATTGTCCATATGATTTTTCCCCTAAGCCACTTTAGTGCTATCCTCTCCCAATCTAGACGTCTTCTTGTTTACCTCTGCGCCACTGGAGAGATACGTTCACGAACGAAAGCTTTTTCTATGATTGCAGAGAATCCATCCCCTCGTCCTTGCATGATCATCCCTCTTCCCTGTATACGATCACCTCCTCTTCCCTCCAGCCATGGGTTATATTTCTCCCCCCCCCCCCGCCACGTGCCTTTCCACAACAATGGAAATATTTAGTACACTCTAGGGCATGGGCGCAATGTGCGCATTTGTTCGTACACGTGTGAGCCTGCTATTACTGTGGCGTTCTACTCTTACTTATGTTACGCCAGGCGAATACGGCCCTACATTGCATCAAAAGTAAATTGCGCTATATTAACACGGCACTCGCGCGCAATGGAAACACATTTCGGTAGAAGAAAGTGGGCCCGATTTTCGCCGTGTTTATTTGCGAGCTTTTCTAACGCGCGACGAAATTTTCCCGCGATTCGCCGACTGCGAAAACGGCAGCGGCATAAAATCGGCTGCGCCTCGTAACAGTGCTGCCGTCGGCAATCCATTGCCATGCCAATAACCAGTCCCGCGGCCTGCCTTCTCAGCGCCATAGCAAAAACGTCGCATCGCACGTTCGCACGCTCGGTCGCCGGCGAACGATGACACGTGACGGACTCTCCGGACATAACGGAAATTCAACGTCTTCCCGGTTCTACATGCAGGAGAGGAATCAGGAATATGGGCGAGCAGGCTCTCGTGACGTAGATTTCTGCGAAAGGCAGTTATTATCTTATTTATCCCAGAAATGATCCATTCGCTTCATTTCTAAGATGAACGAACAGGGCACATAACAAGGAACACAATGGCGTGTATTAATAATCGTATATATAGCTGTTAGCTGTCCCGTGCGTGCGTACTTGACCTAACTACACCTATGTTGTGACACACACATATACACTAAACTGTAACAGAGTTCTTAATATACGAAATGGACATGGGGGGGGGCTGAGTCACAGGATTAGGATTACAAGGGTGCTACTATTTGTTGTGGAACCTTAACGGGAAATTGAACGCAGTGGTTTTAGGTCTACCGTGTATGGTAAGTGGTCAATATGTGTGAGAGGCATAACGGCTACATAACAAAAGTACAAACTGCCGGTAACGTAGGCGATATACGAATGTCTACTCAAATGAGGAACAATTAGTTTATATGTGAAATTGACTGCACGTAATAGAGTAATGTATTTCGCGAGTCTGTATGGTATATGACTGAATCTAGGCACAGTGGGGATTATGATGCTCCAGCTTAGAGCGCATTATCGCAGTTACACGCGCAGGCGCATGCGCAGTAGGGACTTATAGCAAGATAGCGATTGTCATTCAGAAACATCGACCTGCAGTGTATAGAATACATCCGCAAACCATGCGCTAAATATTCGGAAGGCATTTTTGGCCACAGAGAAATAATAAGTATACACACAAATGTGAATAGGATCGGGAATAATGCGTCAGATAGCGCCAATAGATGCATCCCTAAAATTATTCGTATATATGACGTCTGTGTATTCGAATGTACTTACAGGTGTATATTGTGGGCAATTTGGGAATAAGCGACTCTTCACCATACCATGGTGGCTTATGCGCCACATACATGAAAGGCAGGGAATACGCCCTCGGAATTGTAAAGGCTATATGGAAAATGGATTCCCATACTGTAATATCCCTATACTACTGAGTACTAATGCATATAGATGCATGGGTACACGTGTGCCACAATGTTATGAAATGGCGCGCATGTGTCAATCATGAGATGGGAATCTTTGCTCAGCAATTGCTCGCAGCCTGTTGTCACGAAAAACGAAAATTTGACTACGGCTAGAATTTCACGAAGCCAGGGTTTAGAATTTAGCCGATTATAACCGTGTACGGCTTTCTTATGCACATGCGCAGTATTCGTGGCAGACGAAGATGATGGTCACATTATTGTCACAATTCTATCTATCTCAAATAGAATCGGATCGTTATACGTGCCACAGCCACACCGCCACTAGCATAAATATTTAGCAGCGGGAATATTCTATTACAAATTATAACTTTTAGTAACTACTACAAAATTTCAATTTGGATTAAAGAATGATTTGAATGAATTTTGATAGAAATTTCTAAATAATAATGACACCATATATCCTCAGGCACGTGCACCCATAACTAAAGCTATAGTGTTCACGTCGCTACTTAAAAAGATGTTTAAAAAGTCCATATCATTTTTCGCTTTCATTAAGCTATTTATTATGACATGCATACTGGGAAAATTTGAATCCACTATAAATAGAAGATATTCTACATTGCAAGTATTATTAAAAATATATCCGAGCTATATTTTTGCTTCATAGAATGTGTCATTTTCTGCTCAGAGGTTGGAGTAAATTTGAAGATTACGGACTAGATTATTACATCATATCATGATTAATGTTATGTCATAAGCAATAACAGATTTTAGAAGAATTATCGTATTCAGTTGTTAACTATTACTATAAAATTGACGGCCGAAATAAAAACCAAACATATATTATCAAACCTAGTACATATACTTGCCAGTCGCTTGAAGATATTAATAGCACCTGCATTGACACGTTATTTAATTAATGAAGTTATTAATTAGGTTATTATCCTGATCGCATTCGGGCACACCTCTTCGACGTCCCCCGTTTTCGAGATATACTCTGGTTTAATTAAAACATCATCATCCTGCTGAGGGGGGGGGGGGGTGTAGGTGTATATGCGTACCTCGCAGCAGGGAAGCCAGTAGACACCGAATATAGGATCGGTGTTTACATCGCGCACACACGCATAGCTCCATAATACATAACTACATAACATAATACATAACTACATAATATCAAGAGTGAATAATAATAGATTAATAGTATAATAGAATAATATTATTATTCACTCCTGATAAAATATAACGGTTTCCTAACTACAGGGGGGTTGTGTATATGGATAGGACACGGCAAGTATGCAGGTGTAGCAGTCACGCATCTCCGAAACAAACATGTTTTTCTGCTAACATACGAACAGGTGAGCTGTGTACGTGTGCTTACTTCGAGAAGGGGTATTCTATAGATAATATCCGGAGGGAATAACAATTAATAGACTATAATATAGACTAGAATAATATTGTCTTGGCAACCCTCTAATTAAACCATCTTTGTTTTAAATTCTGGCCAATAAGCTACATGCAGAAGTAATCAACTGATAAATGTTCTCGCTCACAGCGACCGAAAAACCCATGATTCGAATTTTTTGAATTATTAAAATATATATTATTTTTGCTATGCGTTATCCATGAATAGTATATACTCATATAGTAATCAGTAAATATTGTGTAATTGTATAATATGATTATTAAAGCTGTTTATTTAGAATTAGATACAACTTATATATTTAATTATGTCACCTTTTAAACTTGTGCGCATTCACCCTAATTTCTCTACGCCTACGATTGATACACAATTTAGTGAGAAACTGATACTAACTAGGTGATATGGGTAGATTTGTGTCAAGTATTATTAAAGCATGCATACAAGTTCCGGCTATAACAAAACGATAATCCAGCAATTACTTTTCCTTGAGTGCGTAGCGCAATGAATACACGATCCCGGGCACGCACGTAGACGAAAGCTTTGCAGATAATATGCAAGGCACATGTGAACATCAGGGGTCCCATAACACATGCTATAAAATACAGGGATAAGATGCTCAGGTCATACATTAGACATCTGGGGTGGCATAAGGGCCCAGATTGAAAATGGCAGACATCATGTGGTATTGCTGTACTGAACTGCACAGACTTCCTCTCGTGTGACTCTTATTTTACTAAATTTCTCGTTACTCTTTATAGTAAACCCAATAACAATATTAATGATTGCGAAAAATGGTCCTGGTTAATATTATAGCATAAAAAACATGGTATTAAATGCATTTCACTCAAATGGCACGCATTGATTTTAACTGGGTTTAGTTCTATGTGATAATGTGGCAGATGATCATCTTACTCTCTATTCTGATAATAGGAAGCACAAGAATATGTATATCATTTAACGCGGGTGCTTTGTGCTATCGTGATGGTGTATTGTGCGCGGGTGTATTAACGCGGGTGTATTGTGCTATTATTTGTAGACCTATATAGTTATCATTATTCACCAATCAGTACGCTTTATCCCATGTGTTGCATCTATCCTAGCATATGCCGATATTTGCGTTATTCCGAGTGAGTACTTTCTAAATTAAACTATAGAGCTGTCTTAACAATCATTGAAATTTCGTAATTCGTAAAAATATGTAAAATCGCGCGTTTTAGCTGGTTGTCACTAGAACAAAGTGCAAAACAACGAGCATAAACTCACACGATTTAACGTCCACTCAGTCAACAAACTCTAATCATCTCATTTACGAAACTATCTCAACATAAAATCAGGCTAACTTTGGAAATAGCTGTAGGCGGTATCTTAGGTAAATACGTTCCTACGACAAGCAATGAAATCTTATGTCTTATAGCGGTACTCATAAAAACAGTGAACATACACACACTGTAGGCTGCACCGTTTGGTAAACACTCCCATAAATTAATTAAAAGCTCCTAATAAACTTCGAATGTTTACAGAGGATCCCCGGGTCGCGAATATACAGTGTCGATTACGTATACTGCGCCCATGGACGCGAACATCCTAACCTTTCCTAACATCGCTCGTTGATACCTGTGTAGTTGGCATTACGTCTATAATTATCTTCCGCTTTTGGCTATCCAGGCTATAGTACTAGAGCTAGTATAATGCTAGCCCGACCAGGCTGTGTGACTAACGTCAATATACACACTCTCTTGATGTGTGACCGTTTCTTGGAGCTAGTATAATGCCAATTGCATAACTAACGTAGTGCTAGTGTTTCCCAGTGCAACACAAACTGTTTTACTTATTATCTATTTTGGCTAACGTGTGACCGAGACGCCATGCAATCCGTTTGACAAATGAGATTCTATCAGTTTATGTGATGCAATTTTATGGCAGTGTGCGTATGGCTAGGCTTTTCCCTGCTAACAGTAACAGTGCTAACACACTGCCTTGGTTAATTTACTTATATTTTTCTTGGGCAATCCTGTAGTCACAGCATTTAGTTTTTGGAAGTAGTCATAACTTAGTGCAATACTGAGTCTGAAGCACCGAATGTTGAATCGGTACTGAAATGTTGTGTCAGTACAGTATCATAGTAACGTCGTATTTTTTGTCATCCACAAGTGTTATTAGCAGGCTTATATAAGTTGAGAAATGAACATTTTGAGCACAAGTAGTTTTGGCCAGCAAAGTTAGTTAATCGTATATTTGTGCCGCTTCGCATTGTTTGCTTCAAGTGTCCTATGATTGCCGGATCGACTTAACAATCCTGCTGGCTCAATCTTGTATTTCAGAAGTTGGTCATTTTATCCATTGTTTTTAGTGTAAGTTAAAAATCTTATTAATTAATTATGTTATAGGGTCCCTGAAAAAGGTAATTGAGAAAGTTGCAGTGGGGGCAAGCGTGAAAGAATTATGTGAACTTGGTGATAGCTTGCTGACAGAAGAAACAGGAAAGGTATTCAAGAAAGAAAAAGAAATGAAGAAAGGTAAACCATGTTTGACTGTAGCTGTAAACATGTAACAAACTTTTCGGCTGTATTTTGTTGCCAATCGCACCTTCATTTTCTACTAGGCATCCTCATTGCATTGACATTTTTAACAGTCACAGATTGTCTTCAGATATATGTGAATTCTGAATGCAGACTTCTTTGTGATGCAATTAAATTTGCATTTTTGTTGCGGAGGCAAGTATGTCAACACCGATCAAATGAGTGAAGACCTGTATGTTATATAATCTGTTAATAACATTATTATACTTCAGGTATAGCATTTCCCACCTGCATTTCTGTCAACAACTGCATCTGTCACTTCTCTCCTCTTAAGAGTGACAATGATGTGATACTCCAAGATGGTGACATGGTTAAGATGTAAGTTTTGCAAATTTCAGATCATGGAAACAGGGGTAGAAATTAACTTTTGACAAGTGAGTCCAACGGACTCCCTACCCTTAAAAAGAGGGAGTCCGCAGCAAAATAAGGGAGTCCGCTGTCTGAAGTTCAAAACTAAAGCATACCAACAATAACGCTTGTGGTTATTTTGACGACTCATGCGATGCATGTCTGCCAAATTTTCTTTGGACATTTGCTGAAAAAATACGGTAATTCCACGAGGCCGTGCTCTGGAACGAACTAGTTAGTATATAGCAAAATTTTCAGGGAGTCACACGGACTCCTGTATATGTCAAATCAGGGAGAATTTGACTCCGGACTCGTGTTAATTTCACACCTTGTGGAAAAAGTGCCCTTTCTGGTTGTTTAATCATGTGACCTTGTCTCGATCATAACATATTGTACCATAGTGCACCATAACAGCGGAACTTGTTTAATTTTTTCAAGTTTGGAATTTTATTTGTAATCGTGTTGTTGATTATTCCGTATAATCTAGTGAATAGCAATTGGATCGAGATTATATTATATAATTTATATATAATTTTTACATCCTAAAATCTTTAGCGGGTGGCACTGTTCATGATGGCGTGTATGGAAATCATCTTGAAACATAATTGCATTATTCTCTTTGAGGAGTTTACATTGGAAGAATGTAGAAGATCGCGTAATGTCTTGCAATGGGTCGGGGGATTATGAAATATTTCGGTGAAATTTTTAGACAAATTTTCACTGCCATTTCTCACTAATTCTTCACAAATGAAATAGAATTTATTATGTGAATTGATATTGATATATCAATATGTATATATCTTCAGCTCTGATACAGTAGTCCTTACCGGACACTACTAACCAGACGTGCTGGCTACAAGGAGCCTTTGTCGGCGTACAGTTCATCTCACAATTTCAACCACAGGGTGAGTCACAAAAACTTTTAGACAATTTGTTTGTTTGATGGATGCTACAAAATCTCCTTCCAATTCCCTAAACGCATTGCCACAACCGATCTCTCCACACAGATTTCTCCATTCTCTGCCATTATTCCCATTTTCCAATATTTTTAATTGCTCACGAATTATATACTATCCTTATTTCCCAATATTCATCTCTGTCCACCGCAAAATGCATACCAGTCGCCATCTGTACCCAATCAATATTTCAATTATATTGAATATATTTCCCAATATTACCGAAGAAATACAACCCCAATATTCCCAATATTTTTCATTGCGCACGCACATAAAAATAATTAAAAATCTTTGTTCACTGGAAAACCCTTTGTCATACGGTACACCAGTTGTACCCAATATTTCAATTATATTGAATATATTTCCCAATATTACCGAAGAAATACAACCCCAATATTCCCAATATTTTTCATAATACACACGCGCGCACGCAAAAAAAGTAAAATTAAATGTTATAAAGACATTTATTACACACGAGACACGTATATCAATTATGGTTTCCCAAAAAATATGTTGTACTGGGAAAGTTGTTGTTGTTCTCCGCTCCGGCATCGTAGAATCGTAGAGTTGTAAAGTTGTTGTTCTCCGCTCCGGCATCGTAGAATCGTAGAGTTGTAAAGTTGTTGATCTCCGCTCCGGCATCGTAGCAGCGTCGAGTTATAATTGTTCTTGAAGACTGACTTTATTAGTAAACACAATACAAATATATATACAATACGGCGACTTAGGCACCCAAGCCTATGCCGTGTGTCTCGCCTCTCCCACTGGGTAATAACTTTCTTATGATCTCTCGTCCGTGCCTATTTATACGTTTCCGAAAACCGCCCGGCGACTTTTCAATCGGATCGGTTTTTCGTCATTATCGGCCGGACCTTGGCTTGTAGGTGTGGGGCGTCGCGTCACCCATCCCCGGCGCAAGGTGTGACGTGCCAAGCGGCGCATCCTGTCGCCACCGTTTGGTGACTACAATAAATAAACAAGGATGTCAACGCGGCCGAAGCCATACAAAGCTCATGATGTAATGTAGACGGAAATATATATATATATATATATTATATATATATATATATATTATATATATATATATATTGCGGCAACTCGTAATCAAATCGATTGAAAGTTCAATCTATTACGAAAACTATATGGCTAGTATATTGCATTCCAGTCAAAATCGGATTTCACCCGCTTCATGACATCAACCAAATGGGAACAAGTCAGCATAGTGTTGATACAGCTATCATTTAATTTTGATGCAACGTGATTCACGCGGATAAAAAATACGGCTCTTTCTCGCTATCGATGTTGGGGGATATTGCTATGTATATACTTCATGAATATTGATATATTTGCCTAAGCCGTCTCTATAAATTACAATGTTTCTGTCGAGTTTCGTGACGAAAATTATAAATTCGCTATTGAATTATGCCGGTTATAACCCTATCTCGCCATGTGCGGGTTATAATAAGTGCGACCGCAAGCAAATACATTACTGTCCACAAATGCTCGTATATCACCTGCATCCGCCAATGCTCAGGGCCGTAGCTAGCAGGGGGGCAGGGGGAGGGGGGCAGCTGCCCCCCGTCAAAAAAGAACCCAGCGAAGAATAATGAAAACTTAAGATTAGAATATACTCGCTTAACCGTATGGGGAGTTTTAAGTATGTAACCTACTTGAAATGGCTGGAAATGGCATTTCAGAGCTTCTATATTTCAAAATTTCCTGGGGGCATGCCCCCAGACACCCTTAAAAGCGAGCGCCGCCGGCGCTCGTTCATCTTGCCCCCCATACATTAATTCTTAGCTACGGCCCTGATGCTGCTCTTCAGACAGCCGATACTGCTGTGATATCAATGCGTTATCCACGCTCATAGAAATAGCAGCGAAGGTCGTGACGTGGTGGCTCCAGTGTCGTACGCGCGGCTAGACGTAACTCGTGTGATCGTAACGCATCTTCACGTGCACATATGGTGGGCCTAACACTGAGAATACAACCACGCGTAGGTATCACAAGCCTTCACTTGCCGACAAGTTAATGAGAAATATTCCTTTCCAATGCTACTTTAGATGTCGTGTGTCTCATGTATCGTGTTCCATGCAAGCGCTACCTATAGGGCGACGTGCCAGTTGAGCTGCGCATATTATGTTGATTTGTGGTATGACCTCTTACTATTTGAGCATTTCCTATGACGACTGTAATTTTATATCTCTCGCTCTTGGCATGGCTCGTCCGACCATCCATTCATCTATTTATGTGTCTATAATCTAACCACCTATCCAAAAGGCTAAGCCATTAAAAATGCAGGGATGAGAACAGCAAGAAAGGAAAAAAAAGGAAAAGATAACGAAGGACAAGTACGAGGCGGCGTAGCCGCCAAGTGGGGAGGGTGCGGGAGGGGTGCCCCCTCCCCCAAGGGGGGTGTGAGGGATCACCCCAGAATTTTTTTGAGAAAAATGGACTCTGTAACGGCATCTTTAGGCCATGTGGAGATACATTCTAGCTCAATTTAGGTATTTGCAAAAGCCATACTTGTAATATAATATTATTTTAACAACAGATTTGAGGCCTTCCCCATGACCTTTTGTTGCTAATCTAGCAACTGTACACAATGGCTAACAATATACATTAAACTGGTAAAAAAACAAGTATAACATTTCTTTCAAGCATGAATAATAAAAATATAAAATTGTCATGCGATATAAAAATTTACTCAAACCATGTTAAAAGTTCACAGGTAGTACACTAATGTTTACCTGCCTAGCAGTTTAACAAATTAAACATACAACGGGCAGAATTGGTTGGTGCTGAAGTCAAAACAAATATTAATGATATTATATTGGATTGATTGGAATAGCCATTTGAAACAGTAATAGTCATCACCCCTATTTTTTATCTTTTTCCTTTTTTCCCCACCGGATTTGCACGATTCACGCGGCTGTCAAATCGGCGGAATTCCGCCGATCGGCGGACAATTCTCATCCCTGAAATGGGAGAGCGTAGGAATGGTCGCAATGTACCAACTGCGTATAGGGGGCGCCACGCCGCAACTAGCAGCTGCGTGTATGGGACATTATAATGTATAACCCCTGACGCAATTATGAGTTCTTACAAAAAATGTGTTCCCGAATATTCTATTCATTCAAAATAAAGTTCTGTAGGCTACTCTTCTGCTTGGCAGGGTGTCATGCGTGACTATTTCTCCCGCCACTTCTGTCCAACCCACATGCACGTTGATTGTGGCACTGATTCATCATTGGGAATAAAAATGATAACCTGCTTGCTAAACTCGCTGTTATCATTTACATATTTTCTTGTATATTATCTTATTTAGCAACGCATAGTAACAGTTATCGTTTAACCCCACTTTAAGGTTCCGCTCTGATTTTTGTGTGAACCCAATCAGATCAAGCAGGTAGGCAGGTAGGTAGGTATTCATGGGACGTTTTGTTGTTGTAAATGTATACTAGTTTATTATCTCATAATTTTTCTTGCGACTAATAGTATTAATTGGCACTACAAGAAGGCGATTAAATTTGACGAAATGATTATAGTTATAAGTGTAACCACACGCAGATATGTTCTTATTTTGTCTTGTTTGCTACGACGTGACAAAATGATATATATGCACTGTTTATCATCATATATATCATGTTGTATATGCACTGCTTTGTACTGTATCACTCAAAATTACCATTTTAACTGCCCAACACTATTGCACTTTTCAATATGTTTATATCTATACAAATGTGAGTGTGTGCGAAATATGTTATGTTTGTAATGTGGGTATAATGGTGTACGAACCGAGTGTCGAAAGGATGTGCTAAAAGGGTACTACTTGTACAAAATTTGATGAAGCTTTTTTGTGTGTATTTAGTTTTTCTTCATGTTGTTCTGCACTGCTTTGTACTGTATTCACTCAGGAAACATCATTTCTACCGGCTAAACATTTACCGTAATCAGTTTACCTGTACAAAATATGCTGAAGTTTTTTTCTCGTTTATATTTGTTCTTCATGGTATATAGCACTGTTTTGTATTGTATCACTCAGAAAGCTTCTTTTTTATTTTTTTTTATTTTTTTATTTTTAATTGTTCAACACTTTACTTGTACATAATATGCTAAAGTTTTTTTTTGTATATATTTTTTCTTTATGCTGTATGTAAATGTTTTGTACTGTATCACTGTATCACTCAGAAATTTTGGGGATCGTGGGTATATTTGCTATAGTTTATAGTATAGTATGTACAATGTTATGTTGGACCACAATGGAAATAAGTGTGTTAGCCACGCTTTTTGTGTTTTCATCCTCGATAATTTTCTAGCTGCATTTTGTTTATTTATGCTGTTATCGATGTAATGTATGCTTTGTTAATTATCGAAATAAAAAAAAATAAAAAAAGTGACCACGACTGTGACGCTTTGGGATGCTCATTGCAGTGGCGCGAAAGAGTGCAATGCTGCCCCCTGGTGAGTATTGCGCTACATAACGTGCAAAATGGCGGACAAGGATGAAAAGGAAGAAGAGCAAACGATAGCTCAGGATTCCGTTATCACCAAATATAAAATGGCTGGTGACATGGTGAATCGTACGTTTTATTTCGCTGCATCGAATAATTAAAAATTAATAATGCTTTACATCGTCAATGTTGTTAGAGTGTTTTCCGTAATGACCAAGTCTAATGGTGACATCTGGCAAACGTTCTGCATCCCCCACCTGGCCACCAATGGCACCATGGCCATGCCGGCTTTTTCATTGCATACCATTTACATGTTTTACCATGTTTTTTTGCTTCCAGTAGCACGTTATATGCCTGTTTAGCTGTTGATCGTATAAGAATTTCGCTTTCTTAATCTATACAAACTCATATATAACTTGTTATAAATCGCTATTGCTGATACTGAGTGATTGTGATTTGATTATCAATATCATCACGTTTGTCTGGTAGTGGTAGGGGCCTATAGCGCTAGATACAATAATATTAATGTAACCCAACAAGAGTAGGGTTACAACGCGAGCCTATTCTTTTCTTTGGAGGACCCTGAGTCGCATTGCAGCAGGGATCGAATTTATGTGCTTTTCGGAGACTGGGGGAACTCCCAAAACTAGTTTATTCTAACAACGAACCTTTCTCCCAGGCAATCTTCCGGGACTTACCATGTGATACAGATACTCTATATTAAATATCTAATATATACCTGTTAGTGTTTAACAAAATGGCGGAAAAGCGACTAGAACCGGTCGCGAGGCTTATCTGACGGATCGATTTGACGCTGACTAGCGCATGCGCACCCTGCGTAGAAAAAATATTCCAAATGTTACAAAAGACCGGGCTGTATGGAGCACTCTTGTGTGAATGATCTGTTGAGCCATTGTGACGTACTAACTTCGCCAAGCCCTCCATCAAATCACCACCGATCCAGAAAAGGGACACCGTTTAAATTCGACATAAATAGCGCCGCCGACTCGTGCATGCTTAAGCGCCTAAGGTCCACGAAGGTCGCCGAAGGAGTTTTTTCCGGTAACAGCCACAAAGCCCGCGAATAAAAATGTCGCTGAATATACGATATTGGCCGTTATATCTATTAGTGAGTTGAAGAGATGGCAATCAAATCGTGATCGAGATATTAGAAAGCCCATTTGAAGGAAAGAGACTCTCCAATAGAGAGCTATGCAATTGAGCCGACCAGAGAGAGAATAAAAGGTGTATCAAGGTGTTCGATTGCATTTCAAGGAATAAATTAACGCATCCACCGTGGAGTTGCCTAAAGGTCTGATCTCGCAGTGCTACGTGTCAGACACTGAGAGTTCTTATCGCCACACACCACCAAATAAGAGTAAGCTCACCATGCCGCTACCTTGGAGCATGAGCAAAATATCAACGCACATCGAACAAAAGCAGAGGTCCTCGACTGCCGCAAAAGAGAAATGTAACTAAAACGCTAACATCGCCGCCGCTGCTCTCGCCGAGTATGCGCAACTTAACCTGGCGCCCAGTAACATAGCGCCCATATACTTTCTAAGTTGTGTAGCAATTTGGCGAAATTATGGCTTTCCGATAGAATCTAAGGCCATATAGCATCATGGCATGCCCTTACCCCGCTAGTCTAGAGCCCACAAACTAAAACGTCCACAGAAGTGCCAAGCATGTTCATGGCGAACAACAGGAGACCAGAAGTCTAAGACTACAAGCGACTCCCAGTAATAAAAAGGCCCAAATAAGTCGAGTGTGAATAAAAATGCGATAAATACAAAAACAGCGAAAGGAGTTAACACTGAGAATAGAATGTAGGATGGTGCTAATAGATAAAGTAAGCTGCGGAAGCGTAGCATCCTATGCAGCTCGATAATCTTTGTAAACAGGTTATATTAGTTATATAACAGAGTAGTTGTGAATACATAGTAAGTCCCAGATAGCGGAGAAAGGTTCGTGTTTAGAATAAACCCAGTTGGATGTTCTAGTCTCGAAAAACGCACCATAAAACCCCCCTGAGTGAATCACTCAGAAGCTTCTCCAAAGAAAAGAATAAGCTCGCATTGTAACCCTACTCTTGTTGGGTTACATTATTGTATCTAGTATAGCGCTAGCTCTATTACTATAGCCCGCGTACAGTTGCTGCAGGCCTGCGCAACTGTACGCGGGCTATAGTACTAGAGCTAGTATAATGCTAGCCCGACCAGGCTGTGTGACTAACGTCAATATACACACTCTCTTGATGTGTGACCGTTTCTTATGAGGCTAGTATAAATGCCAATTGCATAACTAACGTAGTGCTAGTGTTTCCCAGTGCCAACACAAACTGTTTTACTTATTATCTATTTTGGCTAACGTGTTGACGCAGGGGACGCACTGCAATCCGTTTGACAATGAGATTCTATCAGTTTATGTGATCAATTTATGGCAGTGGTGCGTATGGCTAGGCTTTTCCATCTAACAGTAACATGTGCTAACACACTGCCTTGGTTAATTTACTTATATTTTCTTTGGGCAATCCTGTAGTCAAAGCATTTATTTTTGAAGTAGTCATAACTTAGTTCAATACTGAGTCTGAAGCACCGAATGTTTGAATCGGTAGCTGAATGTTGTGTACAGTACAGTATCATAGTACGTCGTATTTTTTGTCATGCCACAAAGTGTTATTCACAGGCTTATATTAAGTGAGAAATGAAACATTTTGAGCACAAGTAGTTTTTGGCCAGCAAGGTTAGTTGTAATCGTATATTTGTGCGCTTCGATTGTTGCTTCAAGTGGTCCTGACTGATTGCCGAGCAATCGACTTTGAACAATCCTGCTGGCCTCAATCTTGTATTTCAGAAGTGTCATTTTTATCCTCAGTGTTTTTAGGGTGTAGTTAAAAAATCTTATTAATGAGATTATGTCTATAGGGTCCTGAAAAAGGTCAATTGAGAAAGTTGCAGTGGGGGCAAGCGTGAAAGAATTATTGTGAACTTGGTGATAGCTAGCTGACAGAAAAGGAAACAGAACAGAGATATTCAAGAAAGAAAGAAATGAGAAAGGATAAACCATGTATTGACTTGAGCTGTAACATGTCAACGACTTGTTCGGCTGTCGTTTTGTTGGCCAATGCACCTTCAATTTCTACATTCAGGAATATCCTCATTGCATTGACATTTTAACCAGTCACCAGATTTGTCTTCAGATATATGTGAATTCGTGAATGCAGACTTCTTTGTGATTGCAACTGTAATTTGCATTTGTTTGTTGCGGGAGGCAAGTATGTCACACACCGAATCAATAATGATGAAGACCTGTAAATTGTTATATAATCTGTTTAATAACATTAAATACTTCAGGTTATAGCATTTCCCACCTGTGCATTTCTGTCAACAACGGCATCTGTCACTTCTCTCGCTCTTAAGAGTGACAATGATGTGCATACTCCAAGATGGCGTGACTATGGTTAAGATGTAATTTTTGCAAATTCGATCATGGAAACGAGGGTAGAAATTACTTTTGACAGGTGAGTTGTCCAACGGACTCCCTACCCTTAAAAAGAGGAGATCCGCAGCAAAATAAGGAGCCTGCTGTCTGGAAGATTCACAGAACTAAGTGATACAAAAACGAATAGTATCGTGCTTGTGGTTTTCGTTGACGATTATGCGATGCATTCTGCCAAATTTCTCTTTGGACATTTGGCTGAAAAAATACGGTACATTCCACGAGGCCGTGCTCTGGAACGAACTAGTGTAGTAATAATGCAAATTTTCCAGGAGTCACACGGACTCCCTGTATAGGTCTAAATGCAGGGAGAATTGACTCCGGACTCAGGGTTAGAGTCACAGAGAGAGTGTGTGAAAAAGTGCCAATCTTTCTGGTTGTTAATCATGTGAACTCATTTTTGTGTTTTTTTTTTTTTTTTTTTTTTTATTTTTATTTTTTTTTTTTTAATTTTTGGGTGGGTTCCTCGATCATAACATTATTGTACTCATAGTGGCGCCATAACGCGTGGACAGCTAGAGACTGTTTAAATTCTTTCAAGTTTGAATTTATTTGTAATCGTGTTTGTTATTATTCCCGTATTAATCCTAGTGAATAGCAATTGGATCGAGATTATATATATTATATTATACTATATATATATATATATATAAATAATATAGTAATATACTATATAAATATAATATACTATATATATATAGTATTATATATATATATAACATATATTATTATTATTCGGGAGTGATACATTGAAGAATTACAGTCGTGAGAAACATGTAGCTGAACTGAAACCCTTTCAGAGATCTCGGCGCCCATCTACATGGCTTCATCGCGGTCGCCGCTCACACGCTCGTCGTCGGCTCGTCGTCACAGAACAAGGTCACCGGGCGAAAGGCTGACGTCATCATGGCTGCCCACCTCGCGTCCCAGGCCGCTCTGCGGTTGGTGAAACCTGGCAACGAGGTGTGAAGCGTCTTGTGTCATGCGCCGCGATTGGATTAAGTGCGAGTAGGTGTCGGGAAGCGTGAAGTGTGGGCGATTAGATTGAGGGCTCTCTTGGGGCACCGTCTGTGTGAAATGTGGGCGCGTGGAAGCGGCATAGACAGAGTAGTAGAAGCGAGATCCTAACCCTAACCAGTAAAATGTTATAAAGCAATGTGCGAAAAATGCAAATAAATATACTATAAGGTGAAACTATATTGATAGAGTGTGGGTAGCATGCGAGTTGCGAGTTGTTAATTAAAAAATGGATGAGAAAAACTTCTTCTTACCAAATTTACGGCAAAGATACCGCAACGAAAGTAAAACCTACAGCAATATGGTTTATAAACTGGCGAAAAGAAATGCTATTTGGGTCTTTGAAAGACAAGGATTACTAGATTAAGACACTTAATGACCAGGACTGAAGCAGTTGTTCAAAAGTGGATAATTCGGTGGTGGATAATTCGGTTAATAGTGATTTATCCAGTGGATAGCGCTATCCACTTTAGAACAACCAGGGCCAGGCTGTTTCGACCAGGCGCGTAGCCACTGGGGACCTTGAGCTTGCATGATTCCCTCCCCCCTAGAATTCACTTCTAGATCCGTCCCTGCATAATGGGAGTAGGCGAAATGGGAATATTGCCGATTCTGAGAGTAGACGAAATGGGAGTAGGCCAACTGGGATGTTACCAGTTAAACATAGGTGACATTTCTTGCTGATCAAGCAGTCGACTCTAGGGCTTTGTTAGAGGTACGGTCAGCCGGCCCAAACAGCCAACCTATAGTTTTTTAACCGTTTTTACGACAGGTAATTCACGGGAAAAATAGTAAAGCGTTGAGGTTAAGTTAATAGTTAAGCATTGACTTACTAACGCGAGTGGCGAATAATAAATATCTGGCAATGCTTACTATCCCAGTACCCCACTCGCAACTCGCAGGTTACCAACGCTGATATTGATATGAGGCTCAGGACAAGTGAAAGTCTATGTCGGACAAGTTATTCGTTTGGCTAGTTGCCTGATTGGACAACTAAAAAATTTCTAGTTGTGTAATATTCCTAACATCCTTTGAGCCAGGTCGCTATCGTATGACATTCTCATATTATATTTTCAAAGGTCGCTGAAAAAAGCGGCCCGCGAGGCACGCATCTGTGGCTGTACACATTGACGCTGCATACGTGCCTGCTGGCTGGGGGCAGCATTGATTGAAGTAGGGGGGGGGGTCGCATGATTGTTTCGGTCACATGGTGCTAATCACTACTGAAATGTAGGGGGTGGGCACCGCTGGACTATGAGAGAGCAACAGCAAAACTCTTTCCTGGAATTGAGGGAAAAGCTACAATTGGGAATGACACACAAGTGTGCCGGCACGCAAAAATAAACGTGTGAATTTCATTACGATTTTCCATGGATTACCGTTCTATAATCATACGGGGCTACGTAGGCACGCCCGCAGGCATACACGCACGCGTAACAGGCACGCGCGCATGAATCAGAGCAAGCAGCTCAGACGACGTAGAGGCACTGTATGACTCGACTGCCCGACAAGTGGGAGCCAATGCGCAGAGTGAAACAGTGTAATGGACTGTAATAGTGTATGCTACAAGTGCGCGCTGTGACTACGCGTACGTCGTCCGGTTCGACAGTGCAGTACAGTTGCATTTTGTTTTGTTTGTATTGTTTCTTGCTTTGATATTTCAAACCTGTCGGCCTGGAATCCAAACCTGTCGGCGATTTTCAAACCTGTCGGCCAAAAACTCAATCCTGTCGGCGATTTTCAAACCTGTCGGTGAAAAACTCAAACCTGTCGGCCTTGCATGTTAAACCCCTCGTGGACCACACTGCATTATATACAATGATTTATCTTTGTTTTTTAGAACTCTGCAGTAACGGAGTCCATCACAAAGGCTGCTGTAGCGTTTGATTGCAAGCCGATTGAAGGCATGTTGTCCCATGAGCTGAAGCAGCATAAGATCGATGGAGATAAAGCAATCATTCAGAATCCAAACGAAGCTCAAAAGTAAGACATCACATTACATATACCAGACACATGAATTCTTCTCATGTATCCGTCTTATTGCCCAGGCAGTACTGTGCACTTCTGCCAGTATATTGTAATATTTTGACTTTTTTAACATAGCGTGATTTTGACAGGTCGATCAGGTTGTTATAGTAAATACATAATCTCTTGAAAGAATAGATAGCGTCTGATGAGCAATGGAATAGTGTTGTCGTGTAGTTTCACATAGATGCAAACATGAAAAACTTTGTCCTTACCATCCATATCACGAACAGGTGAAAATGAAAGTGGCATTCGTTTGGTGAACTAGAATGCTATGCAAACTAGTCGTAAATTACACGGGAAATTGTAATTTATAATCATTAACTTCCAGAAAGGAGCACGAAAAGTGTGAATTTGATGTTCATGAGGTGTATGCAATCGACGTCATCATCAGTACTGGAGAAGGCAAGGTATGAGGCAGTGGTCATCTCCTATTTTATATAGAGTCAATGAGTAGAAACGAGAACAAACAGATTAGACATTGTTTTCCAATGAGAATTCCTGCGCAAATAGTATCATCATCATACGAATATATCAATATACACAGGTTTCTAGTATTATGATGTAAATGTATGAGAAAAATGCTACGGTTAGCACATACCAGGTAGAACAGTTAGCATTGCTTATATTTTAAAACAGGGAAGGGAACAGGATACTAGGACCACTGTTTACAAGAAGACCGAAGAAACCTACCAACTAAAGATGAAGACATCTAGAGGTATGTGGCCTAAGTAGTACTCTGGGTATTATTGCAATAGACCTAGCTGATCTAAACTAAAAGTCATATAAACCTTTTATGGTATGAACATAGTACATAAAATGTCCAGCTAAACTTTCAGGTGACTGTTCTTTTAGTTAGCAATCTTCTCACTTTCATTAAGCATACAACTATCTTTATAAATTATTGGTGGTTGTATTGTTGTGCATCGTTCTGTCATTTATCTATGATGGGTTTATACTGAGCTAAATGACCCATGAACTCGACGAAGGTAAAATGTTTTGTGTTGATATGATTACTCAATATGCAACTCTTCTTCCAGCATTCTTCAGCGAAGTGGATAAGAAATTTGGAACTATGCCATTCACGTTAAGGTAGAGGAGACTAGATATTTTACCCTTAACTCAATATACATTTCTGGTTTAGTAAAAATAATTTAAATGGGAAACACTATACTACTACACCGAATAACACCTATTTAAAATTTTAGTGACACCATTCCACTGTGTTCTTGCTACTCATGTTGGTTTATTTCATGGTTGTAGGGCTTCTGAGGATGAGAAGAAGGCAAGAATGGGGGTCATCGAGTGTGTGTCACACAAGCTGCTCGAACCATTCAACGTGCTCTACGAACGAGAGGGTAGGCATTCGTACAACTGCTGCGTTTCAAGAAGTTCTTATTGGCTACTGCCGCCTGAGTAACCCGTTATCGTTATAGCCTGGTTGTGTATCCTAAGAAAACATGGATTGACATAATTAACAGGTCATTTATAGTAGTACCGCTCACACTATTATCTGGAACTGTTAGTATTGCTTGAAATGCTATATTTTATTTAGGGTACTTGAGTGTAAAACTGGTTTTACCACGTTTTTTTTATCTTAAAATGTTTGTCTTGTGAGACAAGAATGTCTCCCCTTCCTTAGCTTTCTCCGTTTGATTTTCATTAGCCTAGCATTTCGTAATATATGTTAACATATCCATTTGCTTTCATTTAGCTGTAAACTCCCTTTGATCATGATTTTTTTTCGAGAAAGATTATTTGTGTTACAAGATTAAGTCTAGCATTTCTTTACTGTATCTAAATTGAAAGGAGAAAACTATTAAAAATGATATGAAGGTATTATAGTATTATATTGTTTAGTTCTGATATGAGTACGCTTGTGTGCGTAGTAGGTACATGAGTGATGCAAGGATGTGCAGGTTGCATGTCAGTACTGTGTACCTATTAATGTTTAATTATAACATATTAATTAATAATTATTATTATTAACTTATTAATTATAACTTACTAATTATTACTTGCAGGGGAATTTGTGGCACAGTTTAAGTTCACAGTCCTTCTCATGCCGAATGGGCCGATGAGAATTACCGCTGGGCCCTTCGACGCTGACATTTACAAATCAGAAAAGGCTGTGACGGATGAAGATCTGAAGGTAAAGCCACCATTAACATTATTTTCATATTACCTCTCATTAAAAGTTCCAAACACTGGTCAAGCAAGGTGAGTGAGACTTTCCTCCCTTGGGTAAGATGCATTCATAGTAAAACATTTCCAACTACCACTACTTGCTTTACTTTTGATTAAAAATTCCAAACACTGGTCAATAAAAGTCTATTTATATAATATAATACTTTCCTCCTTTTGGGTAAGGTGCTTTCATGTTGGTAAATTGCCAACTCCCACCATTGCCACCTACTACCACTCGTGACTGCTTCAATATTATAGTGCCAAGTTTTTGTTTCAAGTAACAACACTTCCTGTTGTTTGTAGCACAAATTTAGATGTTCAAAGTGGTAAAAAGCTCTACATTGCTTCAAGAGCTAATAATACCTAGAGTGTACAACGGAAAAACGGGAAAATAGTGCTATTTCACGACATGATTATTCTACTTTGCCTGCGAGTCTAGAATAATTTTATGGTACTGCATTAAGCAGAATTCTTTGCTCTCTAAAACAAGACCAACCGCTTGTCAATAGAATACTCCTAGGCTGAGATATTGGCTCCTAAACCTCCCCTCCCACAGGCATCACAGCGCCTCGAATCCACATCAGTCAGCAACCTACACGCCTCTAAGGTTGCTTCGTGAAAGTTCGGTTTTTCCGCCATAACTTATATGAATGAACGGCATTTCGTTTATCATAGGTGACTTTCGGGGGCATCGCCTATGCCCTTATCTCCCATTATCTTTCCTAGCACGGCTAATGCCCGTCATGATGGAGCCGGCAATGTTTTCTAAATTAAGTCTTTACAACGCAGCTCAGTTACTATATGGTGTAGTAAAAGTACCGAATTTGGGCATGTGACATCAATTATCAGCGTTCCAAGCGGTGACGGAAACCGATAGCCAAAATGCTTAGGGGCGTTGAGGTAGCTGACTGATGTGGATTCGAGGCGCTGTGATGCCTGTGGGAGGGGAGGTTTAGGAGCCAATATCTCAGCCTAGGAGTATTGTATTGACAAGCGGTTGGTCTTGTTTTAGAGAGCAAAGAATTCTGCTTAATGCAGTACCATAAAATTATTCTAGACTCGCAGGCAAAGTAGAATAATCATGTCATGAAATAGCACTATTTTCCCGTTTTTCCGTTGTACACTCTAGGTATTATTAGCTCTTGATTGCTTCTATTTATGATAAATTTTCAACTGCGGTGCAAATTTTATTTCATTGTGAATGTGTTTGCAGGCGATTCTTAGCACACCAGCCAACCGAAAGGCAGCAAAGAAGAAGAAGAAGAAGGCTGAAAAACAGATGTTGGCAAGTGGTGCGCCACCAGCTTGTCCTGCTGGTGATGCACAACCTAATGCAGAAACACAGGATGCTTGATAGACCGTCTAGTATTGGTCAGGCAGTGTGGGTGCATAACATATGCATGTGAGTTTCCTAACCTCACATGTAATGTAACCATGCGTGTGCGATGTGTACTCATTACCACGGCGCCAATGAACGAAAGCTGTAGGTATCGTAGATGGTTTTGTAGATGGTATGGATACGTATGTGATGGCTATGTAGGGTAGGTGGCTTTGTATACTGACGGCGCACCGGTTGTGTTACGATAAATTAAGTCGCTGGTCTTCGTCTGGAGATGCAGTGGCAGAAACCTCGGCTTTATTGCTTTAAAATTCCTTCTGGAGATTATGTTATGAGATTTTTTGTATTCGCATTAGTCAAAAATTAAATGTTAAATGTTTGGCAACAGGAGAGTGGTTATGGTGCAGGCCCAATGAAGTCGGTACTGGGAAAGCGGTCGTAAGTTGGTTGGCAGTTACATACAGTGCATTTAGTCAGGTTCAACAGCTGATTAAAATGCAATTTAATAATGGTTATTGTCGCATACAATCACTGCATTATCAATTCTGGAAATAAAAAGTATTTTCTTACAGTACCATGAATTGGTATAATTAGTACTTTTGCATGTTTTTGTAAATGTTGATGTCTACGGATCACTTGCTTTTTCTGATATTGTGTTTCCTCACAAAATGGTTTTGATCAGAAGAATAATAAGGAAAAATTGGGTCAATAAAACTTAACGAAGTAATAAATTTTATTCAGCTTAAATGCATCTCACATAGAAATACTAAGGTTGCAATAGCTTGAGCAAGTGTGTAAACTAATAATGAGAGTAGTGATATATCACCTACAAGTTGAATAGAAATTTTATTTGAAACATATGAACAGTCTTCCACACAAACAGACAAGAACTGAAAACAAATTTATGCCCAATTTATGAGTATGAGCTTAAATAAAGGTTTGATACACTTGGCAGTATTGATATTGATAACACTAGACAGAGGGCACTCAAAGAGAGTGCATACCTCCGCGAGCATGTAACATGTATACAGCTGGCTCGCTGCTGCTGACTGGAAGCCCTAAGGCGAGCTGCTGCTGACTGGACGCCCTAAGGCGAGCTGCTGCTGACTGGACGCCCTAAGGCGAGCTGGCGCTGGATCGATCGGTTGAGCGTGTGTATAACAGCTGGCTCGCTGCTGGCTACACACACATGAACACACACGCGAGCGATTGCATGAGCTCCGTTTGCGCGGAGCTAATAACACTCATCAATGTGATGTAATTTCAATTGTGAGACATCTTAATTCACCTAAAATGTAATGATTGCTTTATAATTGATCCATGTAGAATTCAAATTATCTCATTTATACTGACTAGTGCTCAAGACTCCTGGGTGACCTTACTATATTCACATAGAACCAGTTGCTTCAGTGTATCCATGACAACAAACGAGTCTGTGCATTGTTCTGTTTTGTTTTGAACATGGTGTATAAGTGTTGAGAAGTATCGCTTTTTTCCCTCTTTATACTTTCTCACAGCTTTTGGATTTTCATCAATGGCAGTCTGGCAAAGTCGTAGAATCACCTCATTGTCTGTTATCTTATGCCACTTGTTCTTCTCCACTATGGCAGCTGGATTTAGAGTTTCGCCTTCAAATACCATGTCGACAAGTTTTGCACCTATATCCCATGTAATTTTGCTAGTGTCAATAAGGTCACAGATTTCCCCAACACGCTGAGGAGCCAAGTTGCAGTCTGCGATTGAGCACTTTGCCTTGTACACACACCGCAGTACATGCTTCAGAAGTATCGTGGCAGCAGTCTTAGGCAAACGATGCGGAGCATCGCGTAATATCCCCTCAAAATACTCCATAAGATTGACCTCACTGCTGAGCTTGATAGCATCAGCCCACGGCAGCCCGCACACATCTACTAGGTGCGTTCTCTTCGCAGCCGGCAATGTGGGAATGCTTGCTCTGATGTCGTCAACGTTTATCACCTGGTGGGCATCTAGGTGAGACACGGCATCGGAGCTATCGTATATTCGGAGAGGAGGTAGGTTCGGTTCGGGCATGAACCTGTAGTCTTGCTTCATTTCTTTGTCGCGCATCGAAACGGTGCGTCCGGTTTTAAAGTCGAACGCCTTCGTTTCGTTCTCGACTTTGCCGCCGTCTTCGAGTAGTTCGATTTGCCTGGAGATTTCGTAATCGATGGCTTTGGCGACGAATCGAACGCTATTCAGGTTCTTGACCTCTGTACGAACTCCTAAAGGTTCACCCGGTCTGTGAACACTGATGTTTGCGTCTACGCGTAGCGAGCCTTCGTCCATTCTGGCATTACACGTGCCGATAGTCTTGAAGATCAGCTGCAGCTCTTTGATGAGGCTGGCTGCTTCTTCGCCGTCGCACATGTCAGGCGCGGTGACTATCTCCATCAGTCCCACCCCGGCACGGTTCAGGTCTACTAACGTATAGCCGTTCTCTTCGTCATGCAGACTTTTCCCGCTGTCCTGTTCCAGCTGCAGTTGTATGATTCTCACGCTGAGTTCGCGCGGTTCTCTGTACTTCGGCACGGCCGGGTTATAAACAATGCAGCGACAATAACCGTCTGTTGCGATTGGCTGTCTCTGTTGGGTGATCTGGTACCCAGCAGGCAGGTCAGCATAAAAGTAGTGTTTTCGATCGAATTTAGACACTTTGTTGACACTGCAGTTTAGCGCTAAAGCAGTCATAACTGCAGCTTCTACGCATCGTTTGTTGATAACAGGAAGAGTGCCTGGTATAGCTGCATCGAACAGCCCCACTTGATTATTAACTGGGTACGCATATTCTGTACCGGACCCTGAAAACAGTTTCGATTTAGAGTATATCTGTGCATGAATTTCAATGCCTATGACTGCTTTCCACTCCCTGTCATGTTTTAATCGTGTAGCCGCAACTGACAGGCTTCTTGCATACCAGAAGTGGCCTAGTTTCTTAAACGAGTTACGTTTGAAGATGTTTGTGATGATCACGCATGCCATTTTCAATGCTCATTTGTTTATTCCTACAGATGGCGCAGCCTATACTCGATAACAATTTTAAGTTTATTGCCCGCCGTTTACGAATTATATTTTGTGTGTATAAATCGAAGCATTACACCTTCACAGGTAATTTATCTCACACTTTATGTTTTATATGCTCCACCAAACCCCTAGTACACAACCGGCACCCCGATACGCATTTTTCTTAAGCCGCCGTTACAGTGCTCACAGTGTCACAGTGACACTCACAGATGATAGCCCGACCTAGCTCTAGTACTATAGCCCGCGGATCGCTGCCGCAGGCCTGCGCAGCGATCCGCGGGCTATAGTACTAGAGCTAAGCCCGACCAGGCTGTGCGACGGATTGTCTATTCTAACCCTAAACCGACCAGGCTCTCCGACTGTTACACGACGGAGGAGCCTCTCGCCACGTAGTCACGGTAGTGTTAAGCGAGATGGGAACTTATGGCTATTCTAACCCTAGCAATACCGTTTCTTGGAGCTATCACAGTCACAGACACAGTCACACTTATCGGTTCAAGGATAGAGAACATGGGTCCCAATATTGCAATAAAACCAATGTCATTTACATCAATATAAATATAATATTATATCAATATATAATACTAATAGGTTAGGGTTATGGTTAGGGTTAGGATTAGGGTTAGGGTTAGGCACATTGGTTTTATTGGGACCCAAGGCCATGTTCTCTATCCTTGGGCCCACTTATCCACCACAAGTTCCCTTCTCGCTTAACAGTAACACTACGTTGGCGAGAGGCTCTCCGACTGTTACACGTCGTAGGAGATGTACCCTCACCCTTACAATACATTATACATGTCACAGTCACAGATAGCCCGACCAGGCTGTGCGACGGATTGTCTATACATGGGGTATTCTAACCCTAGCAATACCGTTTCTTGGAGCTAAGTCACAGATAGCTCTAGTACTATAGCCCGCGGATCGCTGCCGCAGGCTCACAGAGTCACAGAGTGACAGACCGTACCCTGATTTGGACGTATTTCCGATGTTGTAAATCTAAAATATAAAAGCTAGCTCTTAGAGGTTTAGAGGTTTCTTCTATGTGATTTACCACCTTGACAGAGTGTATGTATTAGTATTAGTATTACGACATCAGTTGGCTGAAAGTCCGGGTACGGTGGGTCCGGGGACAATGCAGTGTACGCAGCGACATCGTATAGTACCCCGAGGTACTTTCCGATATGTCGAACCGTACCCAGGGTACCCTCCGATAGTACCCTGGGGGACATAGACCTTATGAGCACCAGGGAAACCTGACACTCACGTAATCAAAGCTGAATTTGTCACTTTTCTTTGTGTAGAAAGTGGACTATTTTTATTTAGTTAGATATCTATAGAAGCAATGTAAACTGTATACTATATACTTCAAGATTCTAGGCACTATAACTTTTGGATGTGCGGCAGTATTAAACTATGCATGGGGTACCGAGGACTGGAGAGGAGAAAAACGAAAGTAAAACCTTTCCCAGAAACTCCCCCAACATTCCTAGAGCTTGAAATATATTATTTGGCCAACTCTAGCTCATAGGGTCTATGTCCCCGAGGGTACTGCCGGAACGTACCCTGGGTACGGTCCGGTATACCGGAACGTACCCTGGTAACTATTTGATATGGTTATAGGGTTAGGGTTACGGTTGGGGAGTAGGCGTAGGCGACTCCCTAGACTCGTTAGTGGAGTAGGCGAGGTACGGTCTGGCATATTATATAGTACCAGCTAGGTTACGTTCCGGCAGTACCCTGGGGGACATAGACCCTCTCAGCGGTAGTAGGGCCTATTTGGGAATGTGCGTTCATATTATTTTCAGTTTTTTCTCACTCTGTCCCAAGTGCCTGTGACCTAGCTTATCTGTTATACTTATAGTTCTACAATCTGAATCTATTGACGTATTGTTGTTTCAATCAGGCTTATTGCATCTTAACAATGTGTCAGGTGACTGCTAACAGGTAATATATCTACATGAGAAATATTTAAGATATTATTTTCTGTAATTTTATCCAGTATGGAAAAAGGCTACCGTCAAGCAAATTTTGGAGGGGAACGTAAAGCGAAAGTGGATGTGTCCAATCTTCCATCGCTGTTACAAGACTGGCTGCACCGTATGAAGTATTGCCCTCGTCTTGGCTCTTCATATCCTACTGAGGAAGATCTGGCAAGGTATATGGCAGTATGATATAACATATAATCACTAACGTTTTCAGTCTTGATAATTGCTTTTCTTCTTTTCTTCTTACTATCTGAAAATATATATATATATGTATCAGGAGTAGATAATAGGCCCTATTATCTACTCCTGATATGTATGCTGAATGTTATTTAGTTAATTTACAATTAGTTTATAATTTACACGTGTAATTTCAGTACATAGAGTGATATGAACAATTCCCTTGAATTGCACGTTTTTAAAATATCGAAGTGATTATTTCCCCGGCCGCCGTTTTTTCCCCGATTATTTTCGTGACTATGCTGCTGCGCAAACCATAACGTCCAAACCAGAAGTAAGGGTTAGGGTTGCGGCGGCGGCCCACAGGCGGAATACAGCGGCGGCGGGACACTTCGGTCTGCCGGAGAATTTAACTATGATTTTCAGCACTGCTTCTACGGCAAAGCCGGAGAAGCAGTGCTGAAAACGTACACTTGTTTCTCCAGCGCCGGAGATCTAACAAGAAAATTTGTTCTTAATTCTCCGGTGGCCGGAGAACTAACGATGGTTTTCACGGCTGCTTCTCCCAGCCTTTTAATATAGACATATAATAGCTGGAGTAGAGAAGAGGGGAAAAGGTTCCTATTATATGGTTATCTTACTTATCTACTAATAATATTGTATGTTATATAATATAATAGTGTATCATTGTATTATTTACATTGCATAACATGTTTGTGTTCTACAATAATTGCCATATATGCAGATTCACTAATTATTTATATAATGTCATTATGATTATTTTTCAGTTTGTGTAAAGGTCCAATGGTTGGAATTTGGAGTTACCTCATACAGCATGTGCATCACACAGAAACAGTAAATAATGTTAGAGGTAACCTAAAACTGTATCCTTGTGGAGCAATATGGCTCTTAGCATGTTTAATGTTATCTAAATTTATACGTAAGTGATTTACTTGAGCTCAAAAATACTAGTATATTTTTCCGGCACGGACGGTAGGGCGAGCGGCGAAGGCGCGAAGCCCTGCTAGGGGG